CCTTCATGCAGGTCAGCCTTCATGCAGGTCAGCCTTCATGCAGGTCATCCTTCATGCAGGTCTGCCTTCATGCAGGTCAGCCTTCATGCAGGTCTGTCTTCATGCAGGTCAGCCTTCATGCAGGTCTGCCTTCATGCAGGTCAGCCTTCATGCAGATCAGCCTTCATGCAGATCTGCCTTCATGCAGATGTAGATCAGCCTTTTAGCCTCTAGAAGTATGAGAAACAAATGCCTGTTGATTACTTTTTTTAAGCAGGAAAAAGGGTGACAGATTATACAGCATTTGCATTGCTGCTTTTAACTGTACAGCTGCTTTAGTTAGAGTTCTCCTTCAGATGACAATATCCCAGGAGCCTTTGCTCTAAAAGCACAATTAAAGGGATGAATCAAAGCTAAAAGATGAGTAAACCTCCATTGCTTCTGTGCACATCTGCCCTGCCTCATCTGCCCAGATGACGTCTCCCCACCTCAAGCACATTATGTTCTGTGTCATTTTGATCCAAAACAGCTGGGACTTGAATTGGTAGATCAGCAGTGGAACAAAAGAGGTTGAGTGCCTTTGGGGAGGCTGAAATACCTCAGAGAGCACCCTAAAAATGAGTTTAAAACTAGCAGCTGCCAGAACACAGATGTGCGTGTGTGCATGCATATGTATATGTGTGTGTGTATGTATACGTGTACGTGTACACGTGTGCACACTGGTTCTGGGACTTGAACTCAGGGTCTGGGCACTGTCCCTGAGCTTTTGCTCAAGGCTACACTGTACCACTTGAGCTACACTCCACTTTGAGCTGCTTGGGTGATTTATTGGACTTTACTGCACAGCCTGGATTCAAACTTCAGATCTCAGCCTCTGAAGTAGCCGGTATTACAGGCAGAAGCCACCTGGCGCCTGAGCACCGGGTTTTAAGCACACCCTTCAGTCCTGGTTCTGACACATACTAGTATAATTGGCCATCTTAGGTCTTAGATCCTAATTCTCTGAAGTGAAATGAAAGGATTGGTTGCCCTCAGATTTTGAAGTCTCTTCTAGCTCTTAAAATCTGTATTTAGTGTGTATATTAGGAGCTTTGAAACCAGTACCAGGTCCAGGACCCAGTGCATCTGGATTGAGGAATGTGTTGCAATCACTTCCTCTCCTAAAACAAGACAACAAACACTTCAAAAGTGGTTGTGAGACTTCACTGAGAGCATGTCCTGCCCCCATGTGAGGTTTTACTGAGAGCAGGTCTTCATGAGACCTCACTCTTGGGGATTCTCTTGGGAGGCCCAGAGAGTTAGAGTTAAAGAGAAAGTGATTTCACTCTTAAGATGAACACTAGAAGATGCAGTGCTGCTCTCTGTGCTAGGGACATCTCCTCACTTCTGTGTTCACCTATACCAGGAGGATGCCACCCAGTGAATACAGTGAAACCACAGATGTTAATGCTGTATTTCCCAGTAATGTCACTGAGAAGAGCAAAAATATAGGTTAATATCAATATTTTATGTAACCTAGTTTATCCGAGATGTTATTGTGTGACTTAACCTCTGTAGAAGTTAAAATCTTGTATGCATTTTTGGCACTGATAGCATAGGGACAGTGTGACATATTCATGTAGAAATGGCATTTCTGGGACTTTGAGGGCCCACCCAGGTCCCTTCCTGCCTACCACCTCCTCCTGCTCATCCCAGAAGTACTACAGCAGGTGAGTAGCCAGAGAGCAAGCTGTGGCTTTGCTTCCCATGTGGGGCTATAATCCAGAATGGTCTCGGGGGTGTTGACAGGGCTACAGAGGATCCCTGTGGATGGTGGGTGGGGGATTCATCTTTCCTCCAGAATGTAGCAAGCTTGTTAATGAAGTCAGTGGGTTTCTCCTGGCTGTGCTTTAGGAAAAGACTTAAGGACATAGTCCTTTAACATAGTTGGCCTCAGGATGAATCTCAGAATCCACAGTCAGACATGGGCTATCTTTTAGCACAGGTGTGGCCAGTAGATGGGGCTGGTGGGGCTTCTGCACCTTGCATGGTCTCTGGGGTGCTGTTGGGGTTCAGGTTCTGGAAGGTATCTGTCTATGTGGTAGTGTGCGTGTTGGGATGGGCAAAGGCTTGCATAAAGGTGATTGTTTGCTGTCTTGTTGACAGATTCATTGCCAGAAGTCATAGGGGAAAAAAAAATCTTAATTTTTACTACAAAATATCATGTTTGAAAAGGAACATGGACCATTACAGAACTTTTTTTTGTTTGTTTTCAGTGTACTCCTAAAATTTGGAATTAAGCCATCAATCAATTACTATAATGTAAGTGTTGCCTTTACCTCTACTGTGTGTCACTGGGGACATCTAGCGGGGTGCTAGCTTCCTGACTTTACAGTGACCCACACCACCCCTGCCGCCACTGTTGGTAGGTATTACGTGAGTTTGGTCTCCATTTGCACACCAAGGAAGCACAGATGCATGGTCTGCTGAGTCATGTATGCTCCAGGTTCTTAGAGCTGGTGGATTAGGAGTTTGGAGATATAGTCAGTGTTATAGTAGGCACCAGAAACATTTTTTTTTCATGATAAAAGTATATTAAGCACAGTCAGATCTTTTGGTGGGAAAGTATCTATAAAATGTAGTTGTCTGGGATTTTGGATATTCAGGTCTGAACTCAGGGCCTCACACCTGCTAGGCAGGTGATCTGTCACTTGATCCACCCCCACAGCCCTTGTGGGTTGTCTGTTTTTGTCAACAGAGCTTTACCAGATTACAGCCACACACATGCATTATTCCAGCACATGTTATGTGCAGTTTCTCAAAGCCACGTGGCACTCAGCTCTGAACGGTAGGTTTTCCTGTTGAAGTTCTTTACTAATACACCTTTGTTTAATATCAGATTTCAGATTTTAAAGATGTCCTTACCAGATTCTATGGCGTGGTTCCTAAAATCCAGTGCCTCCTGCCAGAAAAGGTTGGATATGTGTCATATTTTATCATCTTTATCAAGAAGACAAAATTACTTTTCTCAACAGTTTGTCTTTACTGTGGAGTTTCCAGGAAAGTTGCATTTGTGCGCGTGTCTGTACCTGTATGCGGGTGTAGGCATGTACAGTGTGTGCACAGATGTCTGTGACCAGATCTGAGTTTGTGCATGTGGGTGCATACACATGTGGACATGTGCTGTGTATAACGGTGGCCACATCTGAGTGTGTGCATACATGTGTGTAAGCACACTTATGTGGTCATGACTGTTGTGTGTGTGCACGGGCATTGTTCTTTGACACTGCTGGAATGGGTTTTTGTGTGTTCTCCCTAAGGAGAACATCCTGCCAGGGAAGCGAAGCAGGGGGGAGGGGGGGAGGAAGAAGAGAGGTGTATCACGAGGTTAAAATTTCTAAGTTAAAAAGTCTCCATGGTTTTATGATGCTAGTCCTAATATAGAATAATTACAGTTTCTTCTTTTAGTCAGTAAGGATAATATTCTCTTATCAGTTGGTGTGCTATTTTCTCTTTGCATATCCGGCCAGGTGCAGTGTGTGTGGTCTGGTCTGCATACACCTTTCATTTTCCAAGCTGAAAGCACATCCCTTCACACAGGGCTGCCGGGCCAGCGGGGTGAATGGCTGGGTGACTAGGTACCTAGGCCCGAGTCTCAGCCCGCAGCTGCCGTAGCAGCATGGCTTCAGCTGCACCTGTGCTTGTCAGCTCTGCTCCCAGGCTGCGGAGTCTTAGATCTGCATCCACTGCTTTTGTCATCTTTAAGCCAGTTCCAGAGTGTTCTGATGTTGAAACTGAGATGGCAGTGCAAGGACTGAACGTTAAAGGTCTACCTTTGTTTTCCAGGGAGAAGAAGTGCAAACCATTGGCCAGATAGAGCTGTGCTTCACCAAGGAGGACTTGCACTTGCGAAACTGCACTGAGCCAGGGGGGCAGCAGTCCCACAAGTGGGATGTGCGGCAGGCCGAGGGGGCTGCAGCTCAGGGGATGGTGGTGTGTGACGATGGCCCCATCTTCTACCCGCCCCCCACCAGGACCCCGCATTGATGCCCACATTTTTGAAATACCCTGTTTTCAAAGGAAGAGAAAGTCACAATTCACTACTTTCTAAAATGGACTCTAAAGCCCTTTTAAGGTGTGCTTTGCTTTTTTGCTCAGTGTCTAAATTCGAGGTTTTTATCCTCATCCGATCAGTGTGTTCTCCTGGGCTGTGGCCTCCAGGTGTCTGATCTGCAGCTTGGTTTGTGCCAGGACCCCTTTCCTTTCACAGTGTCCGGATTCAAGCTGCTGCTCAGTCTCAGTGTGGCCCAGTGCTGCATTCGTAGTATGTTCCACCACCACAGGTCTTTCTTCTGGAGGGCGTAGGATGAGCTTGTGGATGGCGAGGCTGGCCCGCTGTGAAGTGATCCCTGCGGTGCTGACTTCTCTCTCGCTTGTGGGTCCCGTGCCTAGACTTCCTGTAAGGTGAAGATGACAGTGGTCCACACAGTAGACTTGTTGTTGGGCTTCTGGTCATGCCCCTGGGCTGCCTTGAAGTGAGGGTGGTGGTGGTCCATGCACTGATCACTTCCTGTTCCTGTGGTATTTAACACTGCCTCTGGCCACACCTTCACACACACACCACATGCATTTTTTTTCAATTTTTATTTATTTTTTAGGGGGTTGAGGCACTGAGCACTGTTCCTGAGCTCTTTTCCTTAAAGCTAGCCCTCTACCACTTGAGCCACAGCTCCATTTCCAGCTATCCAACTTTTTGGTAGTCAGTTGGTGATGAGTGTCATGAACTTTCCTTCCTGGGCTGGCTTCCAGCTGCAATCCTCAGATCTCCTGAGCAGCATGGGCTATTGTTGCCCATCTTTGATCCATATTATTTTTAACTTTTTTCAAGTTTACGTTTTCAGGTTAATATCCACTTGTTTTACAAATAAAAACTATATGTAGGTATCACATTAAACCTTTAAAAATATTTAATCCTCAGAGCAACCTTGCTTTCAAAAAAATTTTTTTTTGGTCAGTTGGGTTTGAACTCTGAGCTTAGCCACTGTCCCTGAACTCTTCAGCTCAAGGCTAGCACTCTACCACTTGAGCCACAGCACCACTTCCGGTTTTCTGGTGGTTAATTGGAGATAATAGTCTCATGAACTTTCCTGCCTGGGCTGGCTTTGAACTGTGATCCTCAGATCTCAGCCTCCTGAATAATTAGGATTATAGGCGTGAGCCACTGGCACCCAGCTTCAAAATAATTTTTTTAAAGAAAATCAGTTATATTTACATGAGTGTACTCCTTTGAAGGGCACTTTTAGATTTAATCAAAACAAAGCTGACAAGAGACCCATCTGAAATCTGATTTGCAAAGGCAGAGCTGGTAGGCAGGGAGCTGCAGGAGGGCAGCCGTGGGAGGGGACACCTCCCAGTGAAGATGAGCACCAGTGAGGCCCCGGAGCGAGACCTGTCCCTCACTGTGACACATGGAATGAGGCATTGTTGTGGTTTCATCAAAAGCAGCCCTCTGCTTTCCTTTCTGTGCTGGGGGAGGGGCTGGCACGCGCCGAGGCCACAGCCTCAACCCTGTCCTGTCCCTCCACCTGGCTCTGTCCTTCTGCCACTCGTGAAGCTCGTGTGTGTCTGCAGTGCTCCCATTGCCCTGCCAGCCTGGACTCCTCTCTGATGGGTGCTGAGGCGTCGGGAGGGGCTTCGTTCCCGTCGGGACTGGCACCGTCCCCACAGGACCCTCAGAGAACTCCAGTTCTCAGAGTCATTAGAAGCAGGTGCCTCGGAACAGGATGGCCCAAAGCTAGGCATTTAGTATCTGTAATGGAGCTGACAGGCAGCTCTCTGACTTGTGAGAATTGTGAGCACTGAGCAGGGCTCCCAGTGCTCCTCAGACACCATCCAGAATTTTTGGGGTTCCAAAGACACAACCCTAAAACTAGGCCTTATTTGTTAGCCCAGGCTCAGCATTTCATGAGAGCACCCTGGCTCTCCGCCCAGGTGGCAGGCCGGGAGGGGCCGTGTGGTGGAGGAGCCGTCACAGGAGCCGGGCCACCTTTGGGCTGCCCTGTCCTCAGGGACGCTAAGAGAACAGCACAGCTCACAACCCCCTCACTTGCTTCTGGTGCTTCTGGTTTCCCACCCACGCTTCTGTGTTGGCCTCGGCAGCCCGTAGTAGGAAAGTTTTGGATTGCCTAGGCTGAGAGAGAGGTAAATGTGCGGCCCCTGGTGAGCTAGGGAGGAGAGCAAGCGCTCTCGTGTTGAGTCCTGGGTGGTTCCCAGTTCAGCTCTAAAGCCTAATTACACTGTGAACCACACCGGGTCATTAAGGTGCGCCTCCAGATGGGCTCGAGTCTGTCCTGGGGTCGGAGGGTCCCCTAGCTAGTGAGCAGTGAAGGGGTGAGGCCCAGCAGGGTGCATGCAGGGCATCACTGACAGCCAGCACCATGCGTCAAGCACTGTCGAGCAATGGTCTGAAAAACTGGCTGGGCATCAGTGGCTTTACCTGCAGCCTTAGCTACTGAGGACCACAGCTCAAAACCAGCTGTGGCAGGACACTCCATGAGACTTCCAACTTCCAGAAGGATGTGGGCTAGGGTTGGGAGATGGTGGTGGAATTTAGTCCAGGCGAGCCCATAGCTAGGACAGGATCCCAGACCTTAGTTTTGTGAGAAGATAGATTTATTGCATTGCTCATAGGATGAGCAACATTTCCCACAGAAGAGGCAGTAAGATTTTTTTCTCTCATTCTAAGCAAAAATCTTTGACAGGCAATGAGAAACACTGCAATTTTCTGTAATTTTTGTGATGGAAATTACAATTTTTTTCTTTTAGTGTAATGAGTCTTGCACTTACTTTAGGCAAAAAGCACAGAATTAGCATTTCAGGCTCAGATGATGGGAAGTTCTAGACTAGAGTTGTCAAGGGCTGGGTTGACTATGCTGACTTGCTTTTAACATCTTGGACCTGTTGAGATGTAGCACACTTGTAATCCTTAGTTTCAGGGAGCAGGATATGAAATAGCGTCTCTTCACATTTTGGTGTGGCACTGGCTGGCTTTGCCATTGAAGATGTGCCAGCCTGGCCCGCACAGCTGGTGCTCAGTGCCTCGCCCTGCTTCCCTCTACTGGGCCTGCTCCAGTGTCCACGAGCCGCCACAGCTCTTGGCATAGCCACGTGGTGTAGCAGGTACTTAGTAAATGTTAGGTCTGGAGGAAAGAAACCAATGGCTGAGGGTGACCGTGTGCATCAACCACTTAGTGGTTTAAAATGGAAAACTTGGCTCATCACCAAGATGGGCCAATATGCAGACTATTGGGACTTAGTTAAAGTTGAATGTCACCTGCATGCCACACTGCTTCGGTCTTAGAAAGTGCAGTGATTTATCCCAACACCTACATTCAGAGAGAATAGTTAAGGCAAGATGTGAAGCTCAAAATGAGAGGGCGTATTAGAAAAGAGAGAGAGGAAGAATGAGATTACTAGGCACACTTGAGTTTATGTTTAGCATGTGTGAGTGTAGGAATCTTTGGGATGGGGATTAGTACCCAGTCCTATCCCGAACAAAGAAGTGAGCAGTGTCTAAATTCAAAGTTTTTTTTTTTTTTTTTTTGTCAGTCGTGGGGCTTGAACTCTGGGCCTGGGCGCTGTCCC